AGACCTGGATTGTGTTCCCAGCTCTTGCCTCTGGCTCTGACTCAGTCCTGGCCACTGTCTCTCTCTCTCCCTCCCTCCCTCCCCCCTCTTTGCCTCTCAAATAAATTTTTAAAAATTAAACACCATACTTGTATTAAGGCTTTACTCTCTTGGTACCATTAACCTAAGACTTTGAGGACCAAGCCTTTAACCCATGGGCATTTGGGATACACCCAAACTAATATCCCCACCATAGCACCTGTGCTTAACCATGATGCTTTATGGCTTCCTAATTCAAGGTATTAGGAGTGAGAGGAGTAAGGTGTTAGATGTGCAAATAAGGTGATATGTGGGCCCAGGAAATGAGAAATTGCTTCTTGATATTCAGTGAGGGGAGAGTGTGGGCTATGAGGAAAAAGTTACTTAATGTCTATTAGCCTTGGTTGCCTCTTCTGCGAAATGGGAGTGATAAAGATTAGGATCTACCTCACAGGTGTGAGGATTAAATGAGTTAATATGTGTAAAACGTTGAGAACAGTGCTTGACAGACAGCATATACACAGTAAGTTTCATCTAGCGCAATTGTCATTGTCATCACAGTCATCACCACCATCAGCAGCAGCATCTGTGGACACAGGCTTAAAGCAATGGGCTGCACCAAGCCTACCTTCAGTGGCTGCACCTGTAGGTTGAAAGTTGGTTGTAAATAGCAAGAGAGAATCCTTCTTTAGTTGACTTTGAAGTAAGATGAGCTCTGTGGAAAGAAGCAAAATGAAAGTCGCTCGACTGTCTCCTTGCCAGAATGGATGAACTTGATACTGCCTTGGAGTAGGACACTGCCTCCCAAAGGCCACCTTTAAAATGAATACCCTACATGGGAGACATAACCTCAACTACTATCATGCATTAACGTCTTGCATCAAGTGCATCCATCAGATGAGCCCCAGCAGAGATCGGTGCTTTGGGGGAAATAAGATAGTGAGCAGTTTTGTTGGTTACTAAGAAGATAGGTATGCATGGAATGAGGCAAAGACCTCTGTCCTGATCAGATCCAAGAGGCCAGAGGACAGACCCAAAAGTGGAAGGAGAGGCAGGTCAGGCAGAGGAGAAAAACACATTGTATGAGCAAGCATTGTGGGCCAGCGATTGGGTGAGTACTTCACACGCATTTTCTCATTTAATCTCCCAACCATCATGTCTTATCCATTCCTGCTGCTATAACAAAATACCCGAGACTGGGTAATTGATAAATAATGGAAAGTCATCTCTCACAGCTCTAGAGGCTGGAAGTTGACGAGCAAGGAGCTGGCAGATTTGGTGAGGGCTTCATGCTGGCACCTTGAATGCTGCTTACTCTGGAGAGGACAAACACTGTGCCTACACATAGCAGAGGGGAGAAAGGGCAAAAGGGACACCAGGGTGCTTTATTCAACCTTTCTACAGAGGCACTAATCCATTTCATCCCCTCCCAAAAGGCTCCTGCTCTTAAGGCCTTGAGTATTTGAGTTCCAACATAAGAATTATGGAGAGACACATATAATTCAAACCATTGTACCGTCCGCTGGTTCACTCCCCAATTGTCCACAGCAGACAGGACTGGCGCAGGCTGAAGCTGGGAGCCAGGAACTCAAACTGGGACTCTCACATGGATGGCAGGAATCCAAGTACCTGAGCCATTACCATTGCCTCCCTAAGTGTGCATTAGCAGGAAACTGGAATTAGGAGTGGAACTGGGACTTGAACACAGGCACTCTGATATTGGATGCAGGCAACCCAAGTGGTGGCGTAACCATTACACCAAACACCAGCCCCATGAGTTCTTTTTAATACCCCACACTGCTCACTTAAACCCACAGGACAGAGAGGTGGACATATCAATTGAGCAACAGTGGCTGGTGTTGATGACATAGAATTGAATAGCTTGTGCGTAGCATTGATGAGAGTGACAAGTCAGAGGCTGGCTTCATATAAGCTGCCTCATCTCCATCATCAACAATACACTGACCCCCATGGTTGTCTTTTACCTTGACTGGAAACTGAGTCTTGCCTCTAGCTAGAGCTCTGAACCCCTGGTGCGATAATGAACTTCACAACTGCTTGCTGCTCCGTGGCAGGCGAGTGTGTGTGCTTTCACAGACCTCCTCCCCACCTCCAGAGAAAACACCTTCAAACATTTATTCCGCTGGTATGAATTCAATAGTACCATCTTCCAGAACAAAAGGCAACACAGGATTCTGCCAACTGTTATTTATTTATTTGACTAGCAGTTACACAGCACCAACTGTGTGCCAAGCACTGTGCTAGATGCTATTATGCAAGAAGAGCCAGATATGAAACCTGGGCATTTCAATATTGAGATGGATGGGCATCTGCAAGGTGAGCAACCAGGGTTGCATCCCTTGCCACACTGGCCTTGATTCCAGAGGTGAGCAGCACTTTCTACAGAACAACTGCAGGCCCACAGAGCATAGGCTGAAGATACAAAAGTGCTCCAACACACTTTGGGAGTAACTGCCAACGAAACACACAGCCACAGCTCTGATGAAGAGGGCAAAGTTGTTGCGAGTGAGAGTGGCCTGAGAAAGATGGAAGATGACATCTTGGATCTAGCACTAGAAAAATGGATACAATTTGGTTAAGTGGAGAGAAAGATTAGATTAAAAATGATTCTCCCAGGTATTCAGCTCTTTAAATCTTGCTTTAAATGCATGTCTTCAATTTATTGTTACTTGGCTTTGATTTGCATTGGTTTCCTTTTGTGTTTTTTTTCTTTTACCTTGGTGCATTTGAAAGATTAAGTGATGTGGGGAAAAGGGAGTATAGAAAAATAATGGGGGCCAGCAGTGTGGCGTAGTGTGCTAAGCCTCTGCCTGTGGCACCCAGCATCCCATATAGGCACCGGTTTGTGTGCTGGCTGCTCCTCTTCCAATCCGGCTCTCTGCTAGTGTGCCTAGAGAAGCAATGGAGGATGGCCCAAGTGCTTGGGCCCCTGTACCCACATGGGAGAACTGGAAGAAGCTCCTGGCTCCTGGCTTCTGGCTTCTGGCTTCAGGTGGGTCCAGCTCCAGCCATTGAGGCCATTTGGGGCATGAGCCAGAGAATGGAAGACCTTTCCCTATGTCTGTAATTCTACCTCTCAAATAAATAAAATCTTAAAGAAATGAATGAGTGCTTATACCTACTGCTATGCCATAGAACTTTCTGGAATGATTGAAAGTTTCTATTCTGTGTTGTCCAATACAGTAGCCACTAGCCACATATGGCTACTTCCTGAGCAAATGAAATATAGCCAGTGCAACTGATGAACTGAACTTTTAACTTAATTTGAAACGTGATCAAGAGCTACTGTACTGGAAAGCACTGCTCCGACCACTTAACAAGACATACAGGCCCTAGCAAAGGTGCAATGAAATACGAAGGCTCCTATTGAACCTAGTTATGGGGGCATTTATGTGAGCGTGCATGGGCTTGCTCAACAGGGCTTGCAGCACTGTGTTTCCTAAGGGCTTAGTGATGATTTGCACAGTACCTTTAGGTATATTATCTCATTTAATCCCATAGCAGTTCTAAAGGGGCTGGGGAACAGATGATCATTTCCGTAAGACCCAGTCCATTTATGGCAAGGCCCTGCAGTGGATGAGGTTGGAGACTGGAGACCAGATCTTTCTCCTCTTGGCTGGAACACTTTCCAGGGAGACAGAGAAGAGAGAATGATGTCGTGCTACACACGCCCACTGCTCACAGCCTGGAGCTCATGAATGAAGAGAGTGCTTTGCTTCATATGTCTTTCTCCTACTCGGCCGACCGTGGCAAATGGAGCCACAAACTACCATTGAGAACTCTATCTATTCCCTTGTACTCTTGTCCAGCGTATGTTTTGTGTAAATCTGGGCTTGCACTTCAAACAAACTGCCTGGCTTACCGAAAGGTGGAAACACCTTTCGGTTTATTCTTTTGACATGTGTGGAGTGCCACCTAGGTGCAGAGTGTGATATCGGGGACTGTGGAGAGATCTGCGAGAATACGACAGGCTCCTATCTTATGGGGTTATAGTGGGACGCAGTAGGTAGCCCCTTTCCTTGGAATCTACCGGAGTGTAAAAGATGCTAACGGTGTAGAAACGACTTCAGGACCCACTTATAAAGGGGAGTTCCAAATACATGCACAACGCCTCCAGCCTGTACCGTGCGTAGCTGGGTAAACTGCCTCCCTCTTGCGATGGTGGAGAACTCGAAAGGGGAGAGCTCTAGGGTGTCACCTGCCCCAGTGATGAAGAGGACACAAGGAGCAGTACTTCCTGGATTACTATTATCCTGGGAAGGCCTCTGGATGAGAAAGAGTTGAGGTGCTGCTGAACAGAGAGCTCATGGGGTGGGGGCATTCCAGGTAGAGGGTGCCTCCTGGGTGTCGGACAAGCACTCAAGCATTGGGCACAAGACTAGGAGGTCACCCCCAATTCAAACCCAGTTGGAGATATGAGCATGGAGGAGGGCCAGTGTGTGTTGGGGGACAGGAGGGGGGGGGGTCTTGACCAACGCCTTGCAGCAAGGGAAAGG